CAAGAGTGGTTGTTACATAACTTCAAGTTCTTGGATATAAGTTATTAATTTCTCACGCTATCCAATAGTAATTGTTAACTTATCAATTTTCACCAGTGGTTGTTCATTAGAGTTCTTCAAGAGTGCACAATAAGTTTAATCCTTATCCAAAGTTTCCTTATATTCTAATTCATTAGTTAAATCATAGATTTCCTTTTCTTTTCCCTTATCCAAAGGTTCAATTTCTATAGGTCTTCCATTATCATTAAATTTTGATTTTTCCCAACATATGACCTTGTATCAGATATTTTTGTCCAAATAATTCAAGTCCATAGTTTGATAATCATAGTTGATAATAGCCTTTGTTTTTATGATCCAGTTATTATCTACAATAATAGTATATTGAGTTGATTCAAATACATCTATAGTGACAAGTATAGTAATTCCTTTGATAGTGATTGACAAATCTTTTATCTTACTCAATGATTATTTTTTTTCTCTATTTATGTTTACAAGATTGATAGAAGATGGTTCATGGAAAGTGTGTCCTAAAGAGTCCAAAAATGATTTAAAAATAATATTGCTTGTTGACTTAGTATCAATAATTAAATAAATAGAATGGGCATCCATTTTTGCATCACAATACAATGCTTCCACAGTTTTTGAGTTGATTGGTTCAATTTGTTCAGGTAGAGAAGATGTTGATATAAAGGAATTTAAAAATATAGGGGATTCCTGACCCTTTTTAGGTCCCCTTAATTTTTTAAATAATGATTTACTTGCTTCATAGCATCAACAAAGTTCTGCATAGAAAGATTGAACCATTGATTGCGATTGTTAGATTGGTTGCTAGAAGATAATTGGCTGTTGCTAGATTCATTTCCATTGGTTGAATTGTTGATATTCCTTTGAGAACATTGATTGGTTAAGTGTCTAGGTTGGTTGCAAATAAAACATCTCCTTCCATTGTTATCATTGTTAAACTGATTTCTATTGTTATTGTTGTAGGACCTCCTATAATTATTGCCATTGTTTTCATTATTATTATTATTGTTATTGCAGCATGACCTACAGTCACATTGCAAGTGTTCAACTTTTCCACAGTTGTTACAGGTGCGAGTTTTTCTTTGATTTCTTCCCCTATTATTGCTATTAATATTATTGTTACCAGTATATCTCCTATTATTTGAAGTTGCCAATTGTTGAAATCCTTGAGAGAGTTGGGTGATTGTTGTTTTAATGCCCTTAAGTTCATTAGCATCCTGTTTTAAGTAATTTTATCTTAAAAAATAGACATGCAAAGTAGAATTCCTGGAATAGGCTGATTCAATAGCATAAGAATAATTAATAGCCTCAGCCATATTAAGAGGACAAGAAATTTCAACTGGTTCTCTCAATTCATCCCTTAATCTATTGATGAATTGTCTGGTTTTATTTTCAAGAGGGTAGTTGTTATCAGGATCAATGTGCTTATAAAGAAGAGTTATTGCATTCAGATATTTATCCACAGTTTCTCCTGGTTTTTGTATTCACAGCCTTAATTGATTTATCACCTTGATTTGTGATAAGTAGTATACCAAGTTGCACATAATTGATGTACAAAAGATTCAACTGGATGTGTTGCATTGTCCCAGTAATTGATTTGGTCATTTATAGAAGACAATCAAGTATGTGCAATTCTTTTGAGATAAGAGAGAAGTATTTCAAATTTGCGAAGTTCACTGATGCAATTTGCCCTACATTCTTCATCAAATTCATTGAGGATTTTGTTTTCCTCCTTTGAAGGTTAGTATGTCCATCAGTTTTGTTTCCCTTTGGTTGTTATTTTTTGATGCATTCATTTCAACAATTGATTCAGAGAGTTGTTACAGTACATTGATAAAATTTTGATCATTATTTTGCCTATAATCATAAATAGGTTAATTTTGTCACTCTTCCCTCTGCTCATTCCTTTGCTTTTGACCTGGTTTATTCCTATGTGGTAGTGGTTGCTGTTCATCCTCCCTGTTGTCCTGATGGTTGTCATGGCACTCCTTCTATCCATTACTTTCCTCATCATTATCCTGGCCTTGTGAGGGATACCTATTCCAAGTTTGATTCAAATTGTAAGAATGGCCTGCTTGATTCTAAGGGTCCTGAAAAATATTATTCATTGCTAAATCATAAGGTAATGGAAAAAAATGGATTGCACTATATTGGTTGTGATTAAAAGTATTCAAAGAGTGGATTAAAGAAGAAAAAGATAGAGTTTCAAGAGAGTATTTAGGATAAGTAGTTGAAAAATCTGGCAGTGGTTTTGGAATTCAGTTATCAAGATTGTTATTTATCCAATTGTCCTTTTTGGAGAGTAAGATCTTGTCATTGTTATCAAAATGTGATCAAATTTATATTTGACTGATATGTCCAAAGTGAAATTGCTTTTAAAAGGACAATTCCTAAAGAAAGAATTAAAGAAGTGATTTATAATAAAGAAATATTCAAGAATAGATTTATCAAGAATCCTTTAAACAGTGTAATACAGTGTTTCACAGAAATATGGTTCGCTCAGAACCCAAGTTTATTAATAAATCAAGAAAACTAGAACAATTCTTTTAATCTTAAAATCAAAAGAAAATATCCAATCTCCTAAAAAAAAAGTGAAGTTATTTCTAAACTTTCAAAATTAAGTGAAGCTATTTACAAACTTATCCTACTTTTGAGCGAATTATGATTGCTTATATACTTGTAAAAATGGACCACTTGGGTCTCCTAGGCCTCCTAGATTGCCTAATCTATGATAAATTATGTCACATGCTACATTTGATAAAATGATCTATGCTAATTAAGTATCAATAAGAATATCAAAGAATATCAAAGAAATATTTATAAATAAACAGATAAAAATGAAAATATAATAAAGATCATAACTAAAAATAACTATTCAATAGTATTAGAGATTATTTTTATCACTGTAGAAAAAGTGTTTTATGGCTTTAGTCATTGAAAGTTATGTTTTTATTTGAAGAAGATTGTTTATAAGAGGAAAAGGAAAATGAGTATGATTCTTGAAGTATTACTTCAAGTTGATTTAAGAAGAGTAATAAGACTTTGTTAATCAAGGAGTATAAAAACTTCTTGTGAACATCTTTTTTGAGTATAATCAAAGGATTGATGAAAAGAGTTGTTCTTATTCTTGAAAATAAAATATTATATTAATTATATATAAAATATTATATGAATAGTAAAGTAATTTAGGCTTTCTATAAAATAAATTCATAATACTATATAAGTAAGTCATATATTTGTTTTCAAAAATATCAGGATAATAAAAATAGATTTCTTTTAAAATTTACTGAAAATGAATTGATAAGTTTATCTTTAAATTGTTTTAAATTGTTTTAAAAAAATTTTTTTTTTTGAATTTATTTTTTATTAAATAAGAATTGAAATAGAAATAAAAATAGAAATAAAAATAATTGAAATAAAAATAAAGATATAGTATTGAATTCTTTGGTAAAAAATTTTTGCTTCAAATACAGTATAATAAAAGAATTGATTTATTAGAAAAAACAAATAATATCAATTTTAAATTATCAATAAATAGACTATATAAAAATTTAAGAAATTTACAGTATGATATATGAAATTGCAAAATAGGAAAGGTCGTATCTTGGAAAGATTTACAGAATCAAAAAAGGTGATAGAATCATTCATTCGTAACTTGAGACCACATGTTTGAAAGTGTCGGTTTTTGGAAATCACCCGAAAAGATCTCACCTGACAGTTGCATGATTCTTTCTTCCCGTCTCATGAGCGCATATATACTTATCTGAATATTGCGTAATCAAAGTTGATCATATCACAACTGCATACATTCCCTTTTTCGTTGGCATGATGTCAAAGTTTACGTATTATTTGAAAACATGGCGCAGTAAATTTAATTAAAGGGTTTCCATAACAATATTATTAAACGCCGGCAAAAATTACGTAAATATAATATCAAGGTTGTCTGAAATTTTAAAGCGAACGCACTTGAGGCTTAGAAAGCCAAAGAACATAATTACGTAAGAAAACATTCAGCCTATTTGAATATCATCATTGTGCCATCATTCTTTTGATCGATATTGATGGATGTAAGTAAAAAATCCATCCTTGCAATTTTCGATTGAACCCGTTAGGAAGGAGGAAAAAATTTTCTTTTCTTTGACCCTTTATGGGGATCTGCAGTGTAAGAAGCGATGATTTGTCCCCAGGGTCAGGGTTCGATTGCACGCACGCTTTCTCGCAAGTTTGGTTTTGTTCTAACGATTTTTGAGGAATTCGATGGAATTTGCGTTTAAAATTGGATGTCGACTTTGTGCGTAATTATCGCATAACCTCTCAGCTTTCGGTCGCTCACCTAAACCATCAAGGGCATGCAATAATACTCGTCATTATTATACATAACATTTTTGAAAAACTGTATCACATTTTAAATTTGCAAGTGGATGTACGGTACACAGATAAAGGAATTTCCTAGTAGATGTATACAGATAAAGGAATTTCCTAGTATCCTATATCGTATCAACCTAAAAAAAGCAAGAACAGGAGTTCGGAAATCTTACTTACGATTTTACATAAGTCAATATACGGCAGAAATGAAAATTTATAAAATAACCCCTTCATTTATTCTTGCCCCGCTGACAATATCCTAGTCATATTTCAAGTGGAAAATATCTTCCCAAAAAAGTACTCATTTAATCTTAATTTTGACCGTCCAACTTTCGTGGATCCTTTTTTTCACACTCAATCTCCCACTGAGCTGATTCTTTAAAATCAGCAGTTTCTGTAGCCAAAAGTTGTGCTCAATTTTTGTACAGGGTAGACTGTTTTGTTTTCATCTAGTTTGATTCTTCGGAAGACATCTGTATAAAGAAAAATGTCCAAGGCAAAAAACAGCAGAGGTAGAGTTTTGCACAAAGATCCACAAAATCGAGAATTTTATGTAATTGTAAACGCGTACGTAATCTTTAATTTCGAAAATTTTTTCTTCTACAGCGGTGATGAAGGCCATATTATCCAATCTTCAACTCCAACAGTACTTGCCAACGTTTCAAAGACACAATATTGATTTGAAAGTTTTCCTAACAATGAATGAGCAGACTCTGCAGTCCGTCGGTGTTTTAAACGAAACGCACAGAAGAATTTTGGTAATATGCATACGAAAACTTTCCCAGCTACTGGCCACGGTTAACTTGATCGAAGAGCTGGATGAACGTTTACTGTCACCAATCGCTGAGGAGGCACCAGAAATCTTTTCAGGTGATGTTGATTATAGATCACCTGACTTAACCTCCGGCGACAAATCCGATGAGTGTGTACCAATAAAACCGGATTCACCACCAGCGTATACTTTCGAATCACAAGAAATAGATATATCCCCTCCGATAGGACTGTTGACCTCAAAAAACGTAAAGTCAAGTAATCCCTCGTTTGGGAAAAGATCAAGTCTCTTGGTACAAGGTAGTAATGCGAATGGAGAAGATACTGACGGTGAGGATTTCGGTCGGCGTCATTCAATGCCGGTATTGCCATCATATATTGATGCGGTAAAGGGACGAGTGAATGATACGATGGTCATTA